GTCGAGTCGACGAGATTTTGGACTGCATGCATGCTCTAGATCACGATATGACTCGCATGATGTGGAAGCACGACGTACTTCAAAGGGCGAGCGCGGGTCGAGTCGTTCGGTCGGAGGTGGTGGGACGACGGTGGGTTGCGTCACGTTGTTCACTGGTACTTCCACGAGACAGTTGGGTCCAGCATAGTCGAGCACCCCCAGCGCGGCATTCTTGATCGGGTCGCTTGCGTGCTCGGGCGCTTGCGACATCACCGTCAAGTCGTACAATCGGCCCGCTACCCCAGGCATCAGAGGGAGCAGCTGCTGGAGAGCCACGTGGCTCTTGCTGGCCTGGAAAATCTACGCAACAACTAGAGTGACATGGACGTGGCATGTAAGGAACACACTTGGGAAGCGGTCAACGCAAGGAACTCGTGGCGCAGGATGTAGCCTCGGTTGTCGTCGACTCTATCAAAGGTCTCGTTCAGGTCCGCCGTCGCTTTCGCCACGCTTTCTTCGGCGGCGCGGAGCTTGGCTTGCGATTCTGGGGACGGCCGGCTCGAAGTGCTCGTCGCACGTCGGAGCGCGTCGAAGTCGAGCATCTGCAGCGAGTCTGGTGGAGTGACGAGGGTTCAATAACTGGATACCTTTTGCTTTCGCACTTGTACGTTCTTGAGAACGTTGGCGTTCTTTAGCTTAAGCGCGGTGATGGGTTTCAAAACTTGCTCGGCTAGCAGAGCGCGACAGGCGTCGTGGACCGACCTCTTCAACCCCCAATGGATGCTCTCCAGGCACTCGGAGGCTTGCGCGAGTTGTCTATACAGTGCATCAGTTAAGGTGCTTCGCGGCTCGGCACGTACCGCACTAAATCCTCCGATTCCTTGTCGGCCTTTCCTACACATGATCGAGTCATTGCATAGATGAAGGCATCGCATTGCGTACCCTGAGCCAGTTGAAGGTTGAAAAATGCCTTGAAATCGTGTACGAGGGCGGAGGACGCCTTCGCCATGGCATCGGCTTGCTTCAAGTACTCAGCAGTCGACGCATGCAATCGTTCAATGGCTGTGCATTGCTGGTTAAACCTGCACGGGAAAGGATGGTAATCGAACGGATATACGACAGATCTACCGCTGAGTTCGCGTATCCAGCACTGGGTCTGCACATCCCGAGTCATGAACCCCCGCTGTCTGCAAGATCTCTTCCTTCAATCTAAGGCTCCAGTGACGATTTCGCCGAGGGATCGGGATCCATACCGTCGTGACGTGTCCACCATGGATTGCAACTGCAGCGCGCGCATACGACAAGGTCAATGCCACGAAAAGATGAAACACTCGACACATGCAGACAGGCATCTTCATAGCCATCGTGTCGACGTACCCCCGATCGCATCCAGCTCGCCATTCTGCACAAGAGATCTTCCTGTCAACCTCGATACAACGAGAATGCGAGCTGCAGTGCTTGTAGTACGGGCCGTGTATATTTAGTATTATTAATGCAATACTTTAATCGAGATCGTTTTAGTAGCTACTAATAAAGTCAACTTTTTGGCCAATCAGACGCTGTCGTTATTGACATATATCGGGCAGCCGCATCCTTGCATCAACGTGGCGGCGGACATGGCGGTTTACGATGCCGTTGACGAGTTGACGACGAGCCAAGTGTACTTGTGGCTAGGAGTCGTCGGAGCTATTGTGCACTTCGTCACCATCTCGTCGTACTTGGTCTTCCCGCAGCTCAAAACGCAGCATCCATCGGCAAATCTCATGGTGTGGCATGTTGCGTGCAACTTCATGCTGACACTCGGTTTTGTGGGCCAATATTTCGTTCAGGTAGCCGGGCGATCGATGCAAGCCCGTTTCCGCCGCTTTCCTCGTTGTAATGAGTCCATCATTGAATAGGGGGATCATGGCCTCACCGACGAAGACTGCGCCATCCTGTCCTTGTACAACCAGGTCCGCTGTGCACCTCTCTCATGTCTGTTGCATTCATGCAGCGTAGTTTTTCATCCTTGGTAGTGGTTTGTGGTACATGATGCTGTCCCTGGACCTTCTCGTGGCGCTTATCAATCCATGGATGGGGTATTCCATCAAGACGTGGGCGTACCACACAATGTACGTCCGTCTCCATCACGCCTTGTCGACCCGCGCTCTCACGCATCCTTCGCAGCACGTGGTCCATCAGCAGCTTCTCCGCGGCGAGCATCTACTCGCTCCACTTGTATGGCCTGTCCTCGTTGAATCTGTGCTGGATCCAGCGGACCAAGGACGCGACCGAGCCCAACGACGCGAACTGGGTCTTTCTCTTTGGCCCTGTCATCGTCGTCTGGTTCGTTTCGTTTGCAGTGCTACTCTTTGCCACGTTTCGGTTTGCGCGGCGTCAAATGGACTCGACGTACCGATCGAAGCGCCGCAGTCTGCTGCAGTACTTTCGATACTTGATCATGTACGGCGCGTTCTGGGTCACGTGCGGCGCGCTGTACTACTCCGACTACCTTCACGCGTTCACAGGCCGATCGGCGCACCATATCCAGCTCGCGTTTGCGGTCGCATTTGGATCGTACCCACTCCTTGTGTGCCTCGTTTGGGCCGTCAATACGGACTTGTTTACGCACTTGCATGGCGGGGAAGCTCCGTCGACGACAGAGCCCAACATCGCACTCACGGAACACTTCAGCACGTCTCTCCGGAAGGACCTGATGAAGTACACCTCGTCCTCCATCTCGAGGTCGTACCTTGACGTTGTGCCAATTCCCTAGGTATACGACTGTTGGTATCATCCGCAGCTTGCGGGAAGCGTCCGAGGACTCGCCCGTTCGTCGGCTGGACAAAACCCGCGCTCAACACTTGTCGGACCCGAGCATCACGTGTCCCCGCACCACGCGATCGCAAAGCTTAAGCTGCCTTTCCGCCCGGTCCGACGATTTTGAAGACGGCATGGGCTCCCATTTGTGGTATGCCGAGAAGAAGCGACTTGCGACAACCGTGCGCCTCAACACGTCCAAGCTCAAAGTGTACTACGAGAAGCTTGGGTTCACGGACTACGCGCCGCGGGTGTTTGCCAACCTCCGCGCGATCGCTGGAATCGAACCGATGTCGTACGAGACGAGTTTTGTCGGGACGTTGAGCGAAATTGCGTCCGAGGGCAAGTCGGGCATGCTCTTTTACTTTACGAGCGACCGGCGGTACATCGTGAAGACGATGACGAAGGACGAGCACGCGTTCCTCCTGCATATCTTGCCGTCGTACCACGCGTACGTTCGCACGCAGCCGTCGACGTTGCTATGTCGATTCCTCGGCTGCCACAGCATGCAGCTGCCCGTGGGATGGGACAAGATGTTCTTCGTCGTGATGGAGAACGTCTTGAGTACGCACAACCCAATCGACGAGCGATACGATCTCAAGGGTCTCTTCGCCCCCGTGCTGCACCCGCCATTGCGTGTATATATGAAAGACGCCCCCGACACCACGGCGCGGCTGGTCAGTCCGTCGTTTCTGCGGTCCACTGCCTCCACCAAGACCCAGTTGTGGCATGATCACGAGTTTGTCTCAAGAGGAACGTACCTCCACGTCGTGTCAGGCGTCCGACTCGAGCTGCTCACGCAAATAACGAGCGACGTCGGGTTTCTACAAGAGATGGGCATCATGGACTACAGCTGCATCCTCGGCATTCGAGATTTTGACGCCGAGACCGAATCGAAGGTTGGATCGTCGTCCGCGCTGATCGACACACACTGACGGATGCACGTAGCACCTGCTGCCCAAAAACGCAATCGTGTCGGCCGATTCGAAACACGTGTACTACATTGGTGCGTTCGACAAAAAGTCGTCCTGGTCCTCACGACGTGGTAGGATTCATCGACATTTTGCAATTCTACGGGCTGCGGTGGAAGGTGCAGAACCTCGTGTTGTCGATTGTACGCGACAAGCGAACGATCACGGCGCTGCCGCCACCCGAATACGCCCTCCGCTTTCTGAGCTTTCTGCACGCGCACCTCCTTCGGTCCAACGCGGACGGCTCCGCGTCGAATAAGTCGATGACGACCCGGTCGTCGTTCAACTATGGGTCGATTTGACAAGGACGCCCCATGTGTGTGTGAAACAGTGTGCGTCCCCACTTGTGTTCGCACGTGACGGCCGCCGTCCTCGCCGCCACAACAAGCCGTTCCCATTCGTGGTCGAAACGCTTCAGTTGAAAAATGTCAAAACACGGCTCGATTGCATCACCAGTTAAAATCTGCACACCCGCTCCAACGCACGCTTCTTGTCTTCTAGTTCCTTGACGGTGGCTTCAGCATGTTCGTCCAACCAGTCGCGCGCGTCCCGCAGTGCGTTTTCCGCTTGCGCTTCGCCCTTCTTGGACGCGACTTCAAGGTATCGGTAGATGAACCCTTCCAGGTCGTTGCGGGCCTCAATGCGCTTCAACAGCAACGCGTCGGCTTTCTTGTATTTCTCCGCTTCGTCGACCATGCGGTCGATGTCTTCCTGGCTCAAGCGGCCGCGGTTGTTGCTGATTGTGGTCTGGTTCTTCGCGCCGGTCTTCTTGTCCTTGCAGCTCACGTGCAAGATCCCGTTCGCATCGATCTCGAACGTCACTTCCAACTTGGGCTCGCCGCGCTTGGCACGTTCGATGCCGGTGATTTCGAATTCACCGAGCTTGTTGTTGTCCACAACCGACGCGCGCTCGCCTTCGTAAATGACCACCTTTTCAGAAGTCTGGAAATCTTCCTCAGTCGTATAAATGCGCGTCTTCTTCACCGGGATCGCCGTGTTGCGCTTGATCAAAACAGACATGACCTTGCCGACCAGTTCAATCCCCAAACTCAACGGCGTCACATCCACCAACAACAGCGAGTTGGTCGCGTCGTTGCGGATGCCGCTCAAGATCGCGCCTTGCACGGCCGCACCGTACGCCACGGCTTCGTCCGGGTTGATCGACTTGCTCAGTTCCTTGCCGCCAAACAAGTTGGACAACATGGTTTGCACCTTGGGGATGCGGGTCGAACCACCGACCAAGACCAACTCGGAGATTTGGTCGGGCTTCATGTTGGCGTCCTGCAGCACCTTCAACACGGTTTCTTCCGTGCGCTTGAAGCACTCTTCGTTGAGCGATTCAAACTTGGCACGGGTCATGGTCGAGCTAAAGTCCACGCCTTCGAAGAGGGCATCGACTTCAATGGTCGCGCTCGTCGTCGTCGACAACATGCGCTTGGCAGACTCGCACGCCGTGCGCAGGCGGCGCATGGAGCGCGCCGACGAAGTAGGGTCCAAGTTGCGGTTCTTGCGCTTGAACTCGGTGACCAAAAAGTCGACCATGTTGCTGTCAAAGTCTTCCCCACCCAAGTGCGTGTCCCCGCCAGTCGCCTTGACTTCGAAAATGCCGTTCTCAATGCTCAAGATCGACACATCAAAGGTACCACCACCCAAGTCGAAAATCAAAATGTTCGACTTGCCTTCCGCGCCGGCGTTCGTGTCCAAGCCGTAGGCAAGGGCGGCCGCCGTCGGTTCGTTGATGATGCGCTTCACGTCGAGGCCGGCAATGGCACCGGCGTCCTTGGTCGATTGACGCTGTTGATCGTTGAAATAGGCAGGCACGGTCACAACGGCTTGCTTGATTTCTTGGCCGAGGAAGTTCTCCGCCGTCTCCTTCATGCGGGTCAACACCATCGACGAGATTTCTTCAGGGGTGAAGCTCTTGTCTTCACCACGGAAGGTAACTTGGATCAATGGCTTGTCACCTTCGCCCTTGGAAATCTTGAAGGGGAAGTGCGCCGCGTCCTTCTTCACGATCGGGTCGCTAAAGTTGCGACCGATGATACGCTTGGCATCGAAGACCGTGTTGGTGGCGTTGGACGCAGCTTGGATCTTGGCAGCTTCGCCGATCAAACGTTCGGTTTCGTTGAACGCGACCCACGAAGGGGTGGTGCGGTTGCCTTCGCTGTTGGCAATGATTTCGACTTGGCCGTCCTTCCACACACCCACGCACGAGTAGGTCGTACCAAGATCGATACCGATCACTTCCGAGAAACCACGTTCGGCGCGCTTGGCACGTTCTTCACGCTCGGCGCGGGCCTTGTTGATCTTTTCTTCGATCTCGAGGCGCTTCAACTTGCGGGTGGCGTCGTCCATTTCCACACCGCTCAGCTCTTCTTCAAGCACTTGCAAAGCTGCCTGTGCTTGGGTCAAACCAGCTTGGAGTTGCTTGTTGCCCTTGTCCAACGACAATCCCTTGGTGTAAGCCGTGATGGCCTTTTCGTAGCTCTTGACGAAGAAGTACGCAGCACCGAGGCGGGCATAGCCCTTGGCCCATTTGGGGTCGATCTCGATACATTTGTTGGCGTCTTGCAGAGCAGCTGCAGCGTTGCCGTTGTTCAGGTAAGCAGCAGATCGGTTCGAGTAGTACGCGTTGTTGTGAGGTTCGTATGCGATAGCGGTCGTGAATTCCTTGATGGCCAAGTTGAAATCACCGGCGCTGTAAGCAGTATTCCCGCGGGTCTTAGCTTCAGCACCTTGAACTTTGCGCTCGTCGGCAGAGAGGTTGGCGTAGGCATCTGATCCAGCTTTCTTGTTGGCGCGGCGTCGAGGTGGGGCCATGGTGTATGTGTTCACGAGGAATCGGAATTTGAATGGATGGTTCGTGGTTGTCAAATTTGCTCACTGCGTACTTGTTTTGATACATTTTATAAATTGAGCAAAACACCAGGACAGCTTGGCCGAGCGGTTAAGGCGATAGACTCGAAATCTATTGGGGAAACCCTCGTGAGTTCAAATCTCACAGCTGTCGAAACTTTTCCCTTTGTTAGCATATGTTTAGCTAAGAATTTTCAAAGGAAGAGGGCGTGTCATTATATTATAGCATTGATGGCATTTATCACAGTATGGGTTGTTTGCAAGAACATAAGTTGTCCTCAATGCTGTTGTGCATTTTGGTGTGGGTAAATGTGTTTCGTGCTTTGACATCTATTATCCTGAATAGTATCCCTAATACAGTGAGCGACGAAAAAATGTCCCCAGTGGTACTTCACTTTAGTTATAATAAAATTGTCGAAGCATTCAATCTGCAAGAAGAAATTGTGATATTTTTAGCTAATTGGTGAGAATACTTTACCTCATTTGTCATGTGTGAATAAATGTGAAGATGCATGTGACCCCATTGGCGATAAACCTCCATAGATTTATACAATGTCAAAAAACGGAATTATTCTCTTTACCGAAAGGTTGCGTTTTGCACAGTATTTCTGAAGTAATCACTCCTTTGGATATTAAACCATTGCAAATGCTTCGATACAGATAATTACTTGTGAGAGGAAATCAAACTTTAAAGATAAACTGGCCTGACACGTAATTTCATACACATCAAAGGACAGAAATTACTTAGCTCACTCTT